AGCCATGTTCTTAGGACATGCTCCCTTCCCCAGGCCTCTCCTTGTCCTTTCAAGAACCCCCTTGAGCTGGCAGGTTGCTCTGAGAGTGATGTGGACACAGGTACTCATGGGGATGGCACAGAGTTTGATGAAGGAGGAGTGGCAGTTCCTAGATAGGGAAGGAATACAGGAAGCAGAAAAGCAAAGGTCTGTATGGAGCACGAGGATGCCTAACCCAGAGATTCTTGCTAGGGCTTTGTGGGAGATGAGGACATGCAACAGAAAGGAGTTCTAGAGGCTATGCAATTAGTCCGGATCTGATCTGAAAATAATTGGTGGCTGCAGAAGGTCTGAGCAGAGGCATGACACATATGTTCTGTGTCTGTGACGGTAATTCAGTAGAACCCAGCTCAGCCCCAGGAGAGATAACTTGCACCGAGGCTTTGGAAAACAGAAAGCATCAAAATTTGGCCATCTAGGTATGTGTCCGTCTCCCAATTGTCTTTGCAGCTGGGGCCACATCACATTTACCCCCCAATACACACATTGCACCAACATGGACTCCACTTCTCACAGATCTCCCCGACTCCAACTTCGGCAGTGTAGACCACTCACCACTGGCCTCCAGTTCTGTGGAGAAGACCACAGCATCCTCCACCTTGACCTGGTAAATGCCAGAGTCCTCAGGCCTCAAGTCTTGGATCTGGAACTCATAACGCTTTCCCAGCCGGCGCAGACAGTGCTTGGTCTGGTTGTTGAAGCCATAGGGGATCATCTCACCATCCTAAGGCCAGAAAACGAAGAGGAGGCGGGCCTCAGCGGGTCCTCAGTGCTTCCTGCCCCAGTCCCATTCTGGCTATAACCAGCAGTTTTCTCCCACAGGCCCAATCACCAGACAACAGATTCCTGGAACCACAGAGGAGCTGGGATGGGGTGGACAGCAGGGCCTGGAGGACATGGGAACAGGGATTCTGAGCTGGATGGGAATCCATGCTCTAGGAATGTCCATGGAGTGAAAAGTCTACAAGTGTTATACAAAGGGGCACCTGAAGTTGCTGACATTCCAGCTCAGGCTATGAGTAGAGTTACTCCCCAGCAGCCCTGCGAGGATAGCAGGGGAGGCTGGACATGACACCAATGGCCCACGGGCCCTAGCTCAACTTATTCACCAACAGGAACTTGCAGAGAATACCATCAGATATCCATAAGGCTCTACAAACCCAGTAATCTATATGCATACCTACTTTAAGCCCTAGATAGGTTTGCTACTTGCTGAATATTAACAACAGCTAATACTTATTAGGGGCCCACTGTGTGCCAGGCACTGTTTTAGGTACTTAGGACACATCAATGCCTAAAAAAAGATTCCTGCTCTCACTAGCTAAAATCCTATGGGAGAAAAATATAAATGATAAATGTCATAAATAAGTAAATAATTTATGTTAGAAAGAAATAGAACTGGCCGGGCGTGATGGCTCATGCATGTAATCCTAGCACTTTGGGAGGCTGAGGCAGGTGAATCACTTGAGGTCAGGAGTTCAAGACCAGCCTGGAAAACATGGTGAAACCCCATCTGTACTGAAAATATGAAAAATTAGCTGGGTGTGGTGGCAAACACCTGTAATCCCAGCTACTCGGGAGTCCGAGGCAGGAGAATTGATTGAACCTGGGAGGGAGAGGTTTCAGTGAGCTGAGATTGCACCACTGCACTCCAGCCTGGGCAACAGAGTAAGACCCTGTAGAAGGAAAGAAAGAGAGAGAAAGAGAGGGAAGAAGGAAAGAAAGAAAGAAAGAAAGAAAGAAAAAAAGAAAGAAAGAAAGAAAGAAAGAAAGAAAGAAAGAAAAAAAGAAAGAAAGAAAGAAAGAAAGAAAAGGAAAGGAAAGAAAGGAAGGAAGGGAAAGAAAGAAAAAGAAAGAAAGAAAAGGAAAAAAAGGAAGCAAGGAAGGAAAGAAGGAAGAGAGAGAGAGAGAAAAGGAAAAAAGGAAAGAAGGAAGAGAGAGAGAGAAATAAAGAGAAGAGAGAACCAGGGAACAAAAAGGTAGATATGGGTCCAGGGCTCCTGAGTGCTAGGACGGGGCTGGAGGGACGTAGTGGAATCACACAGAGTGGCCAAGGGAAGGCTCTCTGCCATAAAGGAATGAGCCCTGTTGATATCAGGGATGAGCATGCCAAGCAGAGGGAACAGCTGGGGCAAAGGAACAGGGATGAGGCCAGTGGGGCAGGAACAGAGGGACAAGGGGAAGAGAAGCAGGAATGAGCAGAGAGGTGAGGGGAGGGGCAAGTCACGCATGATGTCATTTAGCGCTGCAGTACACCGTGAGGTGGGTCCTATATTATCCCCAGTTCACAAATGAGGAAACTGAGGCACGGGGAAGATAAGTATCTTGTCTGAGGTCACACAGCTTGTAAGTGATGAAGCTGGATGAGTCTGGCTACAGAACTAGCCAAATTTTACCAGCTCCTCCCCACCTGCCGCTGCCCCCATCTGGTTGGCAGGTAACTACTCCTAGAGCCCAGGTAGGGATGTATGAAGTCTCTGGAAAGAAAGCTCAGATGGAAAGGGGTGCACTTTCTCAGAACCCTCTTTTCACCCCCATGCTCTGGTGTTAGACACAATTTACAGAGAGTCACAGGCCCAGCTGGAGAGACTGGTTGCTCAGTGCGAGATAAGAAGTCCTTGTGGATGGATGGTCTACACCAGGGTTTGGCCCAACTCCAACCAGGAACTCCATGGGATGAGGGGCTCACCATTTGTGTGCTCTGGTTGTTCCCATGGAGGAATCCAGGGTACCCACAGTTCTCTCCCCACTAGTCCTGCAGCATCCCTGCCAGATCCCCCCACTCATAGCCCCTCCAGCCTCACCTTATACAGGTAAATCTTGCTCTGAGAATCCTTGAGATCCAACTCCAGGTCAAACTTTGCAATCCCATCCTTGGTGACCCTGATGTGTCTTAAGCTGGAGATGGCGTTGATGTACTACAAAGCAGACAAACCCACCAGGAGAGTTCATGAAGTTCTCTCTTCGGGGCACTCCAAACCCTCATAGGTCCTGGTACCATCCCAGGCCCACAGCGTCCCAGATGAGCATGCATTGGCCCCTTTTACAAGTGGGGAAAAGTAAGCCCCTCAAGGAAGGAAATTCTCCAAGATGAGAGATCAGATCAAGAAGACAACCAAGAAAAGACCCCAGGTGCCCAGGTGCTAGAACTCAGTAGGGCATTTCAATTCATCTGTACTTCTAACAAACATTAGTTGAACACCTACTGTGTGCAAAGCTCTGTGCTGGGTCCTGTGTCAAAGCCAATGAGAAAGCTTTGAGGAGAGAAGGCTGAGACCCTAGGTGTAAGGAAACTTATCCTTCAAGGGGATAAGATACTACTTTCAGGATAATGAAAACGAGTTGTTTTCTATTTTCAGAAGAAAAATTAGACTTATGTTATAGTTAAGTTAGACACAGGGAAGAAATTCCTGTACAGCTGATAAGATTCTGGGATCAGAGTGCTAATGGGAACTGTAAAATTCCCTTGCATGAAAGCCTTTAGAAATAAACCAGGTAGCTGGGCGCGGTGGCTCATGCCTGTAATCCCAGCACTTTGGGAGGCCGAGGCGGGCAGATCACGAGTTCAGGAGATTGAGACCATCCTGGCTAACACGATGAAACCCCATCTCTACTAAAAATACAAAAAGTTAGCCGGGCGTGGTGGCAGGTGCCTGTAGTCCCAGCTACTCAGAAGGCTGAGGCAGGAGAATGGCGTGAACCCAGGAGGCGGAGCTTGCAGTGAGCCAAGATTGTGCTACTGCACTCCAGCCTGGGCAACAGAGTGAGACTCCATCTCAAAAAAAAAAAAAAAAAAAAGAGAAATAAACCAACGAGGTACCGCCCCCCCTCAATCTGGTGACAATGATAATGATAGCAAAAATCAAGCCCTTACCATGTATCAGGCACTAAGCTAAGTACTTTAAGTACATTCTCTCATTATCCTCCCAATAACCCTGCGAGGTAGGCATGACTATAATTCCCATTTTACAGATGAAGAATCCAAGATACAGAGGCCCTAACTCTTCCAAAGCTCCAGAGTTTAGTAAGTATCAGAACCAGGTTGCAAAGGTAGGACACCAACCTGGGATCCCAAGGCCTTAGCCAGATACCCCATTGGGGACTAGATGGAGACAGGCCCCTCGATCATACTTGGTTTCCTAAGTTCTGCCTCCAAGCCCACCTCCAGGTGTGAGGCACCTATGGTCCAGATGTGAGGGGTGGGCATGGGGTGAGGCACCTGTGGTTCAGGTGTGTGGGGTGGGCATGGAGTGAGGGGTGGCCATGGAGTGAGGCACCTGTGCCATCTTGTCCTCCTGCTCCTTCTTCATCTCCTGTAGCTTGCGCAGCATGCCACGGTAGTCGACGATGCCGTACTTCATGCAGATCTGTTCGTAGTCCTTCCTGTCTGCCGTCATCAGCAGCTGCCATACCTGCTCAAGGTCTATCTTTTTCTCAGGGGCTGGTGGGGCCCTGGGGAGCAAGGCCAGCCAGTCAGAGGCCAGAGGAACCCCTGCTCCTTTGTTGGCCACCTGGCTCTGGTGCCCCAAGTAGTTCTAGGAAGCTGCTCTATCTGCACTCAAGGAAATACAGAGCCTGGAATCTCTGGGACTGACCACTTTTGGAGCCAGAAGGATTCAGAGATGGGTGGGGCGAGCCTCAGCCTCACCCCACAACTTTCAGGAGAAATGCTTCTAACAACCTGTATTGTAGATTTCTAAGTAAGATGTCTGGGGAAAGTGGGTGTTGCATTGTTCTGTTGCTTTAAAAAAAAAAAGTTACATCATTGTTCCAGTGGACCACCACATTTTGCAAAGGAGGAAATCAGAGGAGAGATGATTAACTCAAGGATATAGAGCTTTGAAATGGCAGAGCTAGATCCAGAATTCCCAGTTCAGTCCCCTTCCCATCCTCCCATCTGCTACAGGCAGTCTAGCTCCCTGCTGTGTTGGGTGGAGGTGCGGCCCAAGCCCAGCTTACTTATGGAAATAGTAGGGAGTGAATACTATGGGAGGCTCCAAAATCCCTCATGGACAGGCCCAAACCCACCTCTTTTTCAGCAACTTCCGGAAGTCCATCAGCTCCTTCCTGAGGTCTGGAAAAGGAGCAGGAATGAGGCCTCAGTCCCAGGTGGGATGCCTGAGGGTTGATGCAGGGCTTTTCTGTGTGCCCATGCTGACAACCAAGCCTTTGGAAGGGGCTCTCCTGAAGACTGGTGGTGACCCACAAGGTGTGCATGGTGGCTCAACCAGGCAGGGAGCACCAGGAAAGGAGTAGTCTATCTCCCACAGGCCCCAAGGAGATTTCTGACAAATCTGCCTACCTTCCTGTGGTTCCTTGAGTCTCTTCCGATTCTTCCGAAAGCCAACTGGATCATCCAGGGAGGAGAGGAAGGAGTTGATGTGGACAAGCAGGGAGAGAAGTAAGACACGTTGACGGTCTTCCTGAGAAACTGATGGAGTCCCAGAGCCCTGCTCTCCCCACTGTCCTCTAAGGCGTGGATGATCCCAGCAAGAGGGATGGAGCAGGATGGAGGGTCTGTCCATCATAAGCTTTTTTACCCCAGAGCCTTACCCATGACCAAGGGGACCAACCTAAGCATCATCTCATGCAGGGGAGGCCCAGTCATGTGTCCACAGGGGCCAGGGAGGTGGCAGAAATGCGTGAAGCAGACATTGGCAACCACAACAAACTCAAGAGTATCTAAAGGGGCAGCTGCTCTTTCACTCCACCTGGGAGCTGCCATATCAGGGTATAAGCCCAATATTACCAAATAGGTCAGACACTGCTGTTTGGCTAATCCTGCAGCCATTTGTAATCCTCATCATCTGCTTCCACTAGAGAGACTCAAAAAGCTAAACACTCGCCTTCCCAGCTTCCCTTGCAACTAGCAGTGCTCATGTGACACCGTCCTGACCAATGAGCTCCAGGAATTTCTGAGAAAGCCTTTGCTTCCTCTATAAAAAAGGTGGATGGGCTGGTCATGGTGTTTCATGCCTATAATCCCAGCACTTTGGGAGGCCAAAGTGGGAGGATAGCTTGAGCCCAAGAGTTCCAGACCAGCCTGGGCAACATAGGGAGACCCCACCTCTGCAGAAAAAAAAAAAAAATCAAAAAATTAGCTGGGTGTGATGACGCATGCATGTAGTCCCAGTTACTTGGGAGGCTGAGGTGGGAGGATCACTTGGTCCTGGGAGGTCAAGCCTGCAGTGAGCCATAATCATACCACTGCACTCCAGCCTGGGCAACAGGTCTCAAAAAATAAAAAATAAAAGGCCAGGCACAGTGGCTTATGCCTATAATCCCAGCACTTTGGCAGGCTGAGGCGGGCAGGTCACCTGAGGTCAGAAGTTTCAGAACAGCCTAGCCAATATGGTGAAACCCTGTTTCAATTAAAAATACAAAAATTAGCCAGGCGTGGCGGCGCACACCTGTAATCCCAGCTACTCAGGGGGATGAGGCTGGAGAGTGGCTTGAACCTGGGAGGCAGAGGTTGCAGTGAGCCAAGATTGCGCCACTGCACTCCAGCCTGTGTGATGGAACGAGACTCCATCTCAAAAATATAAAAATAAAAATAAGAGAGGCAGATGGACCTGGGCCACCTCTTCCACCTTCCTACCTTGAACATGGATTAGGTTTGGATCTGCCATGGCCCTCTTATGGCCATGAGGTGATAAGCCAATCTGCTAAGGATGGCAGAGCAGTGGGACCAAAGGAATCAGCTGTCTGATGGCAGCTGTGAGCTGTGGTATGAGCCCTGGACACCACTTGCAAAACTTCTTATATGAAGGAATGAAATATCTTTATTTCTTAGGCTACTCTTAGTAGGATTTTCTGTTACTTGTAGGCAGATCAATTGTAAGCATAATCAATGGCGAGACTAGACCTGCTTCCTCAAGAGATATTTTAATTACTACCTTTTAATTACTACAGGTTGACAATTTTTAAAATTTCAAATACCACGCACACCCAAATACACGTCTGAGGGAGAATTTGGCCTTTGCATGACCTGTTTGTTAACTCTGGCATAGGCCTGTCCAAAATATACAAATATCCTTTGCACGGTGGAGAAACTGAGACCCAGAGAGGAAAATAAAGCCCATTCAATGAGTTAGCAGAAGCTCTAGGACTAGAAGCCAGCTTTCAGGTCCTGCTCATTTACTGGGCCAAAAGAATATCCTTCAGAGCATCTGCCAAGGTGTGCCTTTTTAAACACATGCAGACTTCAGTGTGCATGTGGATGAAGCCGGGGGCCCAGCACAAGGTGGGGCTGCAGCAGCGGCGGCAGCCTCAGTGGGCCTCCCTCCCCTCTGCTCCCCTCCCTCACTAGCCACGGGGCCTCTGATTCCTCTGTGGGCTCTCTGCCCTGTGCACTGATGAGACAAGCTCAGGGAAAAGCCCACCTTCAATGACGGTGAGTCTCGCTGAGCACGTGGCCTCTCCGTACATATTTACTGCTGTGCAGCGGTACAGATCCGTGTCCTCACCTGTCAGCTTGTTGATCTGCAGAAAAGCCAAGGGCAGAGGAGCAGGGCTACCATGTCTCCTTCCTCCATTTACTAGACACAACTATGTGTTGGGGATATAAAGTGATTAAGACATGGTCCTAGTCCTTATGGAGCTCATAGTCTTTATCAGGAAAGACAGATCTCAAAACAAAAACCTGGTTCGGGACAGAGGGTGGATGTACCGATTCTCTGCCATCAGAGACAATGTAGCATAGTAGAAAGAGTGTGATTTTGGGGTCGGATGGATCTGGGCCTGAAAACAGTCTCCGTCCTGTATTACTGGCTGTGGGACCTTGAGCAAGTTATCTAACTTCTCTCAACTTCAGTTTCTTCATTTATAAGATGGGAATATAATTCCTCAAAAAAGTGGTGAATGATTAGAATTAAATATATAATCTATGTCAAATGTTTAGCCCCTGGGACATAGTAGGGCCTGGCACATAGTAGGTATCCCATGGTTAGTATTTATAGTATTGCTCAGATTAGCCAAGATTGATTGAGTACTCACTATAGGCCAGGCACTAGCTAGACACTTTACATAAAACTTTCATCCTCATAGCAGCTCCTGGCCAGGCACAGTGGCTCATTCTGTAATCCCAGCACTTTGGGAGGCCAAGGCAGACAGATCACCGTTGGTCAGGAGTTCAAGGCTAGCCTGGCCAACATGGTGAAACCCCTTCTCTACTAAAAATACAAAAATCAGCTGGGCGTGAAGGCGCATGCCTGTGATCCCAGCTACTTGGGAGGCCGAAGCAGGAGAATCGCTTGAACCCGGGAGGCGGAGGTTGCAGTGAGCCAAGATCATGCCATTGCACTCCAGCCTGGGCAACAGAGCGAGATCTGTCTCAACAACAACAACTCATAACAACTCCTTAAAGCAGGTCCTGTTATTACCCCATTTTTACAAATGAGGAGACAGAGATAGAAAGAGTAAAGTGACTTTCCAAAGCCAAGGTGGTGGGCCTGGGATTGTAACCCCAGCAGTCTGACTTCAGAGCTTGAGCTCTTAAGCTCCAATCTACACCACCTTCCCGGTTATCAGCAGAGGTATCTGAGAGCCTGCCAGATCCATTCTTCGCTCAGTCAACTTTGAGTCACGAGATGGAGTTGAATGGATTCAACTTCAACAAGGAGTATGTCTTACTCCTCTAGGGCCTGAAGGCTGCCAAAGAGATCTTCAAGGGGATGGGAAAAGATGAATAGACCCTGGTCGGGGGAAGAGCTATGGTTATTACCTGCAGCACATGCTCCTTGCCGCCAGGGCTGGAGGAGATCTTGTACTTGCTGGAGTCACTGAGGTCACCTTTGGAGTTCTGCCAATGCACCTCGGGCCTGGGCTCCCCACAGACCACAGCCCGAAAGATAGCATTTTTCCCTGCAGCAGGAAGAGACGAGCAGAAAGACTGACAACTTGGGAGAAGGTGACTGTATACTTTATTTAAATTCTAATTTACATCATCTTCCTCATCTAGGTATTTCAACAGCCCCTTCCAAAAAGGGTGCCAGGCCTGGGTCCCCTTGACTCAGGACTTGGAACAGGCAGGTGGAAAGCAGCAGATTCCAGGCACCCAGAGGGCAGTCCTTCCTCTTTCTGTATTGCGGAAGCTTGGGCTGCTTGAGGGAAAGAGATAGGTGGACTGGCCCTGGTGAAAGGGGAGGCCAGCAGGGCTTTAGGGGAGAGGGGCTTTTCTTGAGAGTGGGTGAGCAAGGAGTCTGAAGGCTCTGCCAAGACTGGGAAGGGAATGAGATTTTGTGAATTCCGGCTGGGCACAGGGGCTTACGCCTGTAATCCCAGCACTTTGGGAGGCCAAGGTGGGCAGATCGCCTGAAGTCAGGAGTTCGAGAGCAGTCTGGCCAACATGGTGAAACCCCATCTCTACTAAAAACACAAAAATTAGCCAGGCGTGGTGGTGTGTGCCTGTAATCCCATCTACTTGGGAGGCTGAGGCAGGAAAATTGCTTGAACCCTGGAAGCAGAGGTTGTAGTGAGCAGAGATCAAGCCACTGCACTCCAACCTAGGTGACAGAGTGAGATACCATCTCAAAAAAAAAAGAGATTTTTGTGGGTTCCCTTCCCATTCCTACTCTCTAGAGGGAAGAGGAATCACAACCACGGGAAAGAATGGCTATTTGGTGCCCAAAGGAGCTGGTGCTGAGACATAGGTTCCAACCTCAGAAAAGACCCCAAGCTCCATGCCTGGCATGGAGACCTGGGAACTGCCTGCCCTCAAAGAATCCCTCAGCCTCCCACCAGGAACATCTTAGTAGAGAGCAATATAGACTAAAGGCCCAAGGGCCCATCCCAATTTCTCATTACCTTGTTCCAGATTTAGAAAAATAAGATACCATTCTTTGGCCAGGTGCGGTGGCTCACGCCTGTAATCCCAGCACTTTGGGAGGCCAAGGCAGGTGGATCAGCTGAGGTCGGGAGTTCGCGACCAGCCTGACCAACATGGAGAAACCCTGTCTCTACTAAAAATACCAAAAAATTAGCCAGACATGGTGGCCCATGCCTATAATCCCAGCTACTTGGGAGGCCAAGGCAGGAGAATCACTTAAACCCAGGAGGCGGAGGTTGCAGTGAGCTGAGATCGAGCTATTGCACTCCAGCCTGGGCAACAAGAGCAAAACTCCATCTCAAATAATAATAATAATAATAATAATAGAAAAAAGAAAAATAAAATACCATTCTTTTTCTTATTACGAGGATGCTATGAACTAAAATTTATTGCAGGGATGTGTGTTGGGGAAAGAACACCAATTCCCACTTTTTCCCCAATAAGCCTTTGTTCCCACCACTTTTCTGGGCACTTTCTTATGTGGCCTTCTAGAAGGGCCTTCCTGAGCCCAGCCTGTGAGCCACTGCGGGTGCTGCTGCCTGGAAGCGAGGATTGGGAGGAATCACCTTAACTGTATTAACAGTGCCTATCTGCAGCAGTGGCTTTGAGGAGAGGAGAGAGGGACCAGAAAACACCACAACCTTTCCCTGCTCCCCGATTTAGCATTTTTCCATCCTTGCCCCCCAGATATTTCTTACACTGGAATAGCATGTTGTCTCTTCATTCTCTTTATCCACTCTTTTCCCCAGGACCCTTGTCACTTCTAGGGTTCCAGGTAAGCACGTACCCCCTTAAGGATAGGAGGGAGCCAGTCTATGGTCTGGTGATGGATGTAGGGCCTGGGTGTCCAGGAAGGTGTGTGCCCTAGCCCTCTCCCCTGGGAGGTAGGACAGCAGGAATCTTGCTTCCCCTCCACAGCTCCCCTCTGGGCTCTCACCCTCTGGCAGAGCCAAGGTGACGGGCTTCTGCTCAAAGTCCGGTGTGCTGCAGCCTTCAGGGATCTCCTCCACCAGCTGCCAGATGCTCACCCCAGGGATATGGGACTTCCGGAACTTTCCTGGAGAATGCAGGAGAGAGGGAGGTGGGCCTTCCGCTTTCTCCCTATTGGGTGACCCTTCAACAGAATGGGCATCCATCCACTCGCCCAAGGAGCAAGAAGCCCCTTCTCACTCCTACTGTTGGGGCAGGATTTTTGTCCTACCTCCCGCCTGTGCACAGTGCTTTTTAATTCTCTAATGGGAATCTGGTGGCACCCCTCAGGCAATGTGAATGGAGCCTCTAGGAAGTGGGTGGGGCACCCTGGGAAGACCCTGAGTGTGTCACTGGAGAAAAGCTTGGAAGAGAGAGTGGGAAAGGGCTCCTTTTCAGGAAGCGGGAGCTCATGTGGGGGCTCTGCACCCCTTATTCAGGAAAACAGATTGAAATCCAAAGCCAAGACTCATAAAAAAAAAAAAAAAAAAAAAAAA